CCATTATGGAGACAAGAGTCTTCTGAATAATCTACCTGTGGCTTTTGGAAGTTTTCCAGATTGGCTGTCAAGAATGCAGTCTGTTCCCATCCCTAAATGAGTGCCAAGCCTTCTTCCCTCTGATCCCTTTTGAGAGTTCTTTCCCAACTCTTGGGTACTTTCCTCACGCAATGTGCTAGTCAGTTCCCTATTGGATATTCAAGGCTACCTCTGCCAGAGTAAGGAGTTCTTTCTCGGCAGCAATCTCCTTGTCGATCCTCCTGTCTGTGGATGCAGGCTTCCTTGTTTACTCTGAACACTAAGCAACGTCTGTTCAACTCAGGGGGTCTGCTGGGTTCTGCACGGGTTGCTTCCTCCAATATTCATGGCCTGGGAAATGCTCAGAAGGCAGTGCGCTGGGGAAGCCGGAGGGATTGCCTCATTTGCCTCCAGCCTCACAGACATCTCTACTCTTTGTTGTCGAATGCCTAGGGTCCTGAAAATCATTATGTAGTGCTTTCTTTCTTCTTTGCTGTTGCTCTTTGAAGGAAGGTCAATCCAGGCCCTGCTCCTCCATCTTGGCATCTTGGCTAGACGTGGAAGTCTGAGGGGCATTGGTTTGTATAACCTGGGATGGGAGTTCTGTGACAAGACGGCAGAAATCGGGTTGCTCAATAAAAAGAATTAAACTAATACCAAACAATGAAGCTACTGGCTTATTTTATAGCCAGTTTGGATATATACGGCCTTGACAGGTGCGGCCCTTGGGAACAGCGCTACTTACCGAGCCCTTGCAGGGAGACGCACGAAGTCCTGGGTGATGAGTCCCCATGATGTGGCCACAACCCTGCTCCTTTCTATCGTCTCCCTTTCAGATTAGACTCATTCTTGGCCTGCTTTAGGCTACTCATCTGAGTTTATTGTTTGCAGCATACAGCTGCATGGGCACAGTTCTTATTTCTAACCCACTAGGCATTGTGCTCCAGGCCCTATTTGTATCATAACCTTCCAAGATGCTTCTTCCTTTATATTTAAACCATAAGCCATGCATTGCACTGTTAACTAGGACAAAGACAATTCTCCTTGCCTAGAGATCAACGCGCGATTCTTATTTTCATTTGTTGCTCTCTACTCATCTTCTCTGGTTCACGTTTACATCTCAAAAATGATTGCACTTTTGACACGAACTGCAGTGTCCTTCTCCAGCCTGTGTTCTCTGCCTCTAGAGACAAGTATCAACGTTCCTAGTAAGCTTCTGTTATGCCAAAGATTCTGGTTTTTTGGGTATTAAACCCATGTCAGTAAGAGGTTACCTTACTGAATATTAGTAAACTAATACCCACATATTGCTTTATTCCATCTCATGCAAATAGATGCTTGGAGAATCATCATGTTTTAGGAGAATATTCTGCGTATAAAGGTATCTGAAATGTTTGACTCGATAGCAAGTAAAGCAACACAACAACCAAAACAACCTCCCTGCCATCAAGTAGATTCTGAATTATAGCAACCCTATAGGAGAGGGGAGAATGCATCTGTGGGTTTCTGAGACTGAAACTCCGACCCTGGAGGCTGGTGGTGTTCAGCCGCTGACCCTGAGGTTAGCATCCCAATGCATAACCACTGTGCTCTCAGGGCTCTTTGTAAGCAAGCAAGGGAGACCCATTTCTATAATTTACAACTTGTGTTTCATAATGTTCACTTACAACAAAACTAATCCATAAACTAGAGTTGAAAGCACATTTATTCCAGTTTTGGAAATCTTCAAATGACTATATCGAATTGTTTTAATATTCTGTGATGAATAAAAAAGTATACTGTAAATAAGAAAAATGTATCTGAAGTATCACTTGGCTTCTGCCATAATACCATAATACCATTTTCCTGATGCCCATAAACCAAGCAATGAGTATTTTAAAGTTCAAAAAGTATTTAGGCCATTATGAAGATCACGTTTGGTAGTCAATTTCCCACAGAAGAAGAGCGCATATGATCTTCCCATAAAGAGAAGTTATTGTTTCAGATGATGAGGTCTATAAAAAGCTGTATCCATGTAAAATTCGGGTATTTTTCCTCCACATTTCTACTTTTGTTGGGGATGTAAAACGTTAAGGATACTAAAAAAAAAATAACAAAACCAAAACAATCAACAATGCTGTCTTTCCACAGTTATCAAAACACAGCCTAGGACCCTGTGTGTCGTCATGAAACACGCTCCCATTTTAGAGTCTAAATCAATTTTTTAATTACTACAAAATCAAGACAGTTTTAAAGGAAGATTTCAACGCTTGGTTTTTTCTACACAAGTCATTCTGAAATATTTTTTAAATGCTAAAAGGCACTGTTTGGCTTAATGGCTATTTTCTAACGTCTGCCCTGTAGATTGCCCATCTTTCCTTCTCATTGGTTACTGTTTGGTGCGTCAAGTCTGTCCCACTGCAGAGCCTCTCTGTACAACAGAGCCATCCGCATAGTCATTGTCTTTGAGCCCCTTGATGCAGTCACTGTGTCCCTCCATCCCCTGTAGGGTCTTCCTTTGACTGCTGACCCTCCACTTTTCTAAGCATAGTGTCCTTTTTGAGGACTGGTTTCTCCTGATAACACATCCATGGTACATGACACAGAGTCTAGCCATCCTTGCTTCTAAGGAGCATTCTAGCTTGACTTTTTCCCCAGATAGATTTGTCTGTGGAATTTTCAATACTCTTCACCAATACTGTACCATCACTTAAATGTGTCAATTTTTCTTTGGTCTTCCTTTTTCGATATCCAATTTTTCACATGCTATGAGGGGGTGGGGAATACCATGGCTTAGGTCAGGCACATCTTCATCTTCAAAGGGCCAGTCTTGCTCTTGAAAACTTTAAAGAGGTCTTGTGTAGCAGATTTGCCCAATATAATCTGTCGTTTGATTTCCTGATTGCTGCTTCCATGAGCATTGATTGTGGAATCAAGTAAAAGAAAATCCTCGACAATCCTACCCATAGAATATGACAAATTAATAAACTCTACACTCTAGTCCAGTAATGTGATGAACTTTTAGGCATGCTCATGTGTCTGTATTATGATCAGGCTTTTCTTATGTTAAATGTGTATATTTACAGCCACAGATATGCCTTAACTATCTTCTATTCTAGAATTATCAGGGTAGTCATGAAGCAGATATCACAAAGAGTCTAACCTCTTAACTATTGGGATGGAAATCTTGTTAAAGTCAAGCCTCCTAACATTAATAGCAACATTTAAACATTTTCCTGATGACAAAGGGTCAGCCTTATGAATATGTCAGTCCAATAAACAGGACAGGCAAGATATTGAATAGATTCTGACCTCATGTTTATTAAAAGCGAAAAAACAAAAACGTTTTTCCTTGTGCCATCAGTGTACTCTACATACTGCCCTTCCTATGGAGGGTCTGAGTCCCTGGTTAGAGGAGGTATTCCTCCCATGTGTCATGTGTAATCGGATGTGGGCTGAGTGTGAGCCTGGCTGCTCATCTTGGTCTGGAATATGGGCAACTGCTTCTGGAGTGTGCACTGAAGGGCATTCTGCATAAAGGAAGGGGCTTTAAGAAATAGCTTTTGTTGTGTGATATCCACTTTGGTTATTCAAGACTGTTCCATTTATTTCTCAGTAGTTTCAATTAGCCATCGAAGAAGTGACGAATCAAGTATGGTCAGGGGTTGGGCTATGCAAGTTGAGGTGTTACACCTGAGAGAAGAGAAAGCGTTACAGTTGAGACCCGGGTGGTGGGACTGATGGATGACAGAAGGGAGAGAAGGGCAGGCTTTAGTTTTCCTGAGAAGAGAGGGTCGAGCTCCACCACAATGGCCTCCCACTGACCTGGGGTTGCTGAGAATTGTCTAGCTACGGATTTATTTACATGAACAATGTTGCTGTGAAGAAAGTGAGCATTCAATAAAAGAATGATTCCTGAACACCCCCAAGTTTCACGCTTTGATATTAAGTGAATGAAAACCAGGTAGCAGAAATCTAAACTGGATTTCTGGATATTTACCCCAAATGCCTTCCTTCTTCTAAAGCAGTAGTTCTCAACCTTCCTAATGCTGTGACCCTTTAATGCAGTTCCTCAGGTTGTGGGGACCTCGTAGGTGGGCATATCTGCACATGGGCAGACCCGCCTGGAGATGGATAGAGGAGTGGTGTCTTGGTTCCTAAGACCATCGGAAATATGGTCTTAGGCGAGCCCTGTGAAAGGGTCGTTCGACCTCCAGAGTGGTCGTGACCCCCAGGTTGAGAACCGCTATTCTAAAAGGATACAGTTTTTTTGAGGGTGCAACCACAACAAAAATCGGTGTCCCACAACTTAGTGATTCTCCATTTCATGAATCTCTTTCTACCCCAAAGAAGGCTTGGGAAAACTTTCCATGAAAACCAATCCAGAATCAGTGGTGCTGACAAGGGCTAAGAGAGAAAGGGCATCTTTGGATCCTCTCTAATTCTATAGGTGATTTAACATTGTGGACAGAGGTCATTAGCAACACCAAATTTCTCATGAGGTAAATATGCCTGTGTCCTTCTCCGTTGGGGGACTCTCAAGTTGTGAGGGCAGAGCCGTTCTAGTTGTGCAGGGGCTGGGGGTGAAACCCAGGGCAGTCTGAGGAAGGTTCACATGGGCTTGTGTTGAGATATCAGCTCCCTTTAAAAGTCAACGGTAGGACTTCAAACACATCGCACACATCAGTGCCCCCTGAAAAAGAAGGGATGCAGCTGCACATCCAAGACCGAGAGCCCCTCCAACATTCTCTGAGTCCACACTTCTGTCCACCCCTCTGAGATGTGAGTGGTGGTCCTTCAAGGCCCCCTGAACGTGTTAAGGAGACTTTTTGGAATGGAATACCATTCTAAGTACAACTGCTCAATACAATGGGCCTTTCTGGAGTATCCTTCAAAACTGTACTGAACTGCTTTTTCCGCCCTCCCCAAACTGGGCTTCTGTTATTTTCAAAGGGCTGGGTCATCATTCCAGATTTCGCTTTATCGTAATGAGGTAGTCATACCTTCCAGCTCCCTGCAGCCAAGTTCTGCAGGGCGCCCGCCGCCCCTTCGAGCGTGTCTGGGTTTGAGCACTCAGAGAGCAGCGTGAGGTAGGGTTTGACTATAGATGGGTGCCACAGCATCTGGATCCCTTTGGGTGGTTCTGCGCAGTCTGGAAGAGGTCCTACTCCATCCCACTGGTGGAAGAAAAACAAGAGAGTAAACTCTGAGTTACATTCACTTTGAATCGAATCTAAGGAAACACAAGAGGATGTGCCCCTCCCCTCCCCCCTCCAGAAAGATGGCTCAAATGTACAAAGGACGATCAGCCAGGCATTAAAAGTTGACCCTGATGACAACGAGGTATCCACTTGGGCCCATTATTGGGATAACATTCGACTGAACAAGGCAGGGTGCAAAGTAGTGAGGGGCTGGTGCTTCCAGTCACGAGGAACGCATCACAGACATCTCTCTAATGGTAATCGAAGCAAATGTCAGTACATTTTCAGATTTCGGTGCCCTGGCCTGTGGAATTTTAAAGCCTTAAAGAGGGGAAATAATGATTCTGATCTTTGATCACACACAGTCTTTTGTGTGTGTGTGGGGGGGGGGCAAAGAAAATAATGAGAGTAAGGATGAGGGAAAATATGACATTATTTAAACAAAATTCACCTTGGAGAAAATCACAGTAAAACAAAACAAGTCCTTGGTAGTTTTCGAGTCTAGATATTAAGCTATTAAACGAGTGTGCTTGTGTGTACAGATGATCTCTTTAAAGAAACAGCCTGAATAATTACATAAAGTAAGATGTCTTGTGGGTACATTCTGTCCTTAGATATTCATGTATTTGTATGTATGTCTCTCTCTATAGATGTGTAGGTATGTGTACACGTGTGTCTTTATATAGGTGTGAGAGTAGGTAAATCTATATGCATGTCTGTATATATATAACTATATATACACATACACACATACATACAGGTATATATTTCAGGATCTGAGGAAGTTCCTTTGTTCGGAAAATATTATTGTAAGAAAATATAAGCTTACTTGCATCTTTGCAAGGTGAAAGATTGAAATATTGATAGAGATAATGGAACTGTCACAAATGATTTCAAGAAGTGTGTCATGCATTTTCCAACACAAAAAATAGCAGCCTACGCCTTCTTTCAGCTTGGCTTAAGCTGCGGCTAAAGCTCAGAGAAGAATGAGAGGATGTTGGACAACCCCTTCAAGGTCATTTCCAATGTCAGTGTCACTCAATCTCACTGTGTTACAAGAACATTCAGTGTGGGCAGCCTTTTGTTCCTTTAACCAGAGCCATTTCTAAGGCGTTCTGAGATGCTTTTGCAACTATGTATAGACTGTCTATGGGATCAGTGCATCTCTTCTAAACATAAAGGAAACAGAATCAAAAATAAACCAGCTGAGGCTCCTTAATCCTGGTTCATGATTTGAGTAAATCTTGGTACCCGAGGTACAAAGACGGAGCTGGGCAAAGACAGCAGTCATTTCTGTAGCGTGCTGACTTCAAACCAACAGTGAGACGACTGCCTTCTCATGGGATACCAAATTGGAGTCATTGCATCTACTTACCAGTGCAACAGGATGTGCAACAATTATTACATTTATCGTTGATGTGCTATGTTTTTTCTTTTTATCATTTTCTATTTGGTTGGCTCCTTAAGTATGAAAAACTATTACCTTTACTAATAATATTAGAAAAAGTCAGTTCCCAATCCACAAAACTCAACATGCATGAGATATCCCAATCATGTAAGGGCTCATGTGATAATCTGGGTGATAGAGAAGTCCTATATACATACTACATATTACATGTGTACACACACATACACACACTCACAAACCATGAGAGCCAAAGGATAAACCACTACAAAGCCGTGTGTTATCCTTGGCTGGGTTTCTTCTTATTCTCCTCCTGAAACTTCTGCATCATGAATTAGGATGAATGGTTACATCGGTAGACAATTTCCTTCTGCTCTGACATGTGATCTATGCAGCTCTTAAAGACCTTTTATTGCAATGCTTTCTCAATGGCTACAGGGAATATCCGAAGGAAATAAAAGGCCCACTGATGAGAATATGGATTATCTTTGATGGCGCCTACAGATGGAGTTCAAAGGGGCCTCAAAGGGGCAAATTCGCACCTTGATGGCACCCTGGTGTGTTAATTCCCTTGCTTCAAAGCCAGGGAACATATCTGACCTTCAGCTCAGTATTTTATTTGAACTTTCAATGAGTTAACAGGACGTAAAAAGTATCCTCTGTCCGTTTGAAAATAAATTTTCATCACCATTAAAATGGCTGGGCATTTTCTTGCTCAGACACTTGGGACTGCATGATCTAGCTCATTTACATCACCGCGTGTCTGTCAGCATGTGGCACCATGGTGACTTACAAGTTGCTGTGCTGTCGGAGGCCAAGCTAGCAGTATTTCGAACACCAGCAGGGTCATCTGTGGTGGACAGGTTTCAGCAGAGCTCCCAGACTAAGACAGACTAGGCAGAAAAAGTAACCGATCGACTTCCACAAATCAGACAATAAAACCCTTATCTATCACCATATGTTAGAGATAAACCTGATGTTAGACAATAGCCCAGGAAGAGGCAAACCTACCCTGGATCATAAGATGGCTCAGGACCGGGCAGCTTCTCGGTCTGTTACAGGGCAGTTCACACTGAGCTGAGGTGGACCTGATGGTCATTCACTCCCACTGTAAACATCAACCAGGCTGTTGGGCGAGGGTGATGTTGGGAACAGAGTGAAGCCATGAAACAGCTCCGCAGACAACGTTCATGTACAGGTTTTAGAACCTCACACATGCAGGGCTCACAAAGCTAAGAGTGAGTGGGATCTGATCGGAGGCATTTCGCTTGTTTGTTGTTTGTCTGTGTTGCTGTAGTGGCTCGCCTGGTAAGCAAAACAAAATAGGAAAACACAAGACCCCAAACTCACTGCCATTGGGTTGTTTCCAATCGTGGGCAGAACCGTATCGGACAGCTCTTGTGGGATTCCAAGACTATACGTTTTTACAGGAGTAAAAAGCCTCTTCTTCTGAGAAGTGGCTGAGGGCTTTGAACTGGCGACTTTGAAGTTAGTAGTCCAATGGGTAGCCTGCGTAAGCAGGTGTTGGAGTGCAGGCTAGCTTCACGATTTGATCAAGGAACCGTCTGGGTGACAGGCTGCCAGCAAAGCAGAGGATATGTGGCAGGAACATGTGATATCAGTAGACAGATCACAGAGCAAGCCAACAAGCCAGTGTATTTTCTGCTCTCAAAAGGAGCCGTGGTGGAGCCGTGGGTAAGGGCTGGTCAGCTAACCACAGGTCTGCCATTCACGTTTTGGCAATACACCCTGGGAGAAGGATGGGCTGTCTGCTACGGTAAAGAGGGATAATCTCCGACACCCTAAGGAGCAGTTCTACTCTATCCTATAGGGTCACTAAGAGTCAGAAATGACCCCATGGCAGTGGGTGGGGAGCACATTATCTTATTTTTTTCCTGCTGAGTTCCAAGGCAGGGCCATAAGGCTCGGACCAGTATTTAAAAATCAGTGGACATCTGACATCATTCATTGTCCACAGCTGCCTAGAATGGGAAATTGGCATTCTCTTTCCATAAAGCCACAAAAGCTTCTGCCATCCAGTTGATTCTGGACCCATAATGACCTTATAGAAGTTTCAAAGGCTATCAGTCTCTACGGGAGTAGACAGCCTCATCGTTTTCTCCAAGAAAGTGATGCTCAAAATCCCTCCGGAGAGAAAAGAAGAAAGAGGAAGCCCACCGCTTTAGAAGTCAAGTACCCCTTGCCATGTGGGTCTATGAGGGGTCTGGATTTAGTCGTGGTCAGGGAAGGGGTGCCAAACCGCCACAGCATGGAACTGTCAGGCCAGGACGAAAATCAGACTGATGTGGGATGTGCTCAGTATGAGAAAAGAAAAGAAAATCCTCCTTTGGGCTTGCTTTGACTACTTTTGCTGTCCCCAAGGTTTAAACTCTATTTGAAAGATGCCCATCTGAGTTGGAAAGGCGATGGAAGAGCAGAGCCCATTTATTTCTCCTATGAGATAAAGATGCAATCGAAGGATAAACATCAGCATATTTAAGAAGAGAGACACAGTGAGAATGCCTTCACCCGCCACCAAGAGGCTGCACAAGCTAGGGGTGCGTGAAGACGCAAAGACTCATGGGAATCATCCCATCCCCCAGTCTATGGGAATCCTGAAGGAGCAGGATACACAAGGAGGCTTTCAGCATCTCTCCTCAAGTCAGCCCCAGTCTCTGACTTCCAGAACCTGCTCTACGGCACCATGAGTCCGCAGACAGAAGCTGACCACGTTGTGAATTTCAGAAGCCTCCGGATGCACCCTCCTCCTCTCCACCTATGTCATTGTACAGGCCTTGACAGTCAGCTCTGGATACACAGCCGAGCTGGCGTATGAGAGCTGGGTCCCCAGAGCATGCACAGAGAGAAGGCTGCTGCCCAGCTGGATGTCACCAACAACTCCCCACTCACTGCCATCCAGTCAAGGCTGACTCATGGTGACTCCTTAAGATAGAAGAGGCGAGTCCCCGTGGATTTCTAAGACCGTAACTGTCTGGAGTGGAAAGTCTCCTCTTTCTCTTGTGGAGTGACTGGTGGGTTCAGACTGCTGACTTTATAGTTAGTAGCCCAAAAAGTAACCCACTAGGCTACCAGTTGAATGTTCCCTCAAACTCAAACCAAACTCCCTGTAATTGAGCCAATGCTGACTCACAGTGACCCTACTGGATAGGTTAGAACTGTCCCTGTTGAGCTTCTGAGACGGTAATTTAAAAAAACTTTTTATTTAAAAGAGCATTTTATTGGGCTCTTACAACTCTTATAAGAATCCATACTTCAATTTGTACATATGTTGCCATTATTATTTTCTGAACATTTACTTTCAATTGAGGCCTTAATATCAGCGCCTTTTCCCCTCCCTCTTCTCCTTTCCTGACCCCTTGATAAATGATAAATTATTATTATTTTCATATCTTGCACTGACTGCTCTCCCCCCCCAAGGTTTCTGTTGTTCATCCCCACCCCCACTCCCCACCCCCGGGGTGGGGGGGGTGGGGGTAGTGGTTATGTGTTGATTATTTCATTTAGTTCCCGCTTCCTAACATTTTAAAGGAGTAGAAATTCCCATCTTTCT